AGAGTCAAGAGTCAAGTTAAGAGTCAAGTCGAGAGTTGATAGTCAAGTAGAGAGTTGAGAGTTGAGTTTAGAGTTGAATTTAGAGTCGAGAGCGGAGTTTAGAGTCAAGAGTTGAGTTTAGAATCAACTTTAGGGTCAAGTTTAGCGTCGAGTCTCAAAAGTCAAGTTTAGAGTCAAGTTTCGGGTTTCAAGTCAAAAGTTGGATCAAGAGTCGAGTTGAGAGTCGGGTAAGACTGAACAGAAACAGAGAAAAGACAGAACAAGCTCATTATAATTCTCAGTGAGGAATTCCAGCTGGATTCAACCTGACGTTATGCAAGGAATCTTGAGCCAGTTATAATCACTCTCATTAGAGACATTTCTGGGCCTGTAGACAACTCTGATAATGAGTCTAATAACCTCCTAGTTTGCAGCAACAACACAGGACCTGAAGGCGAATGCTGTGTTTCAAAATCTCATCTCATCATCTGTATGCAGCTTCAAGGACTTGAATCAAGTTACCATAATATTTGCCATGTAGATAACAAAGCCCAGGGCTTTTAGCTGCCAAGAATTTATGAGCACCAGCGGCCACCGGATCGATGCAGGAAAGAAGCGACGGTGTCTCTGAAACAGTCTCTTTTCAGAAAAAGCCATTTTTAGGGCATGTCTGATAAACAGTAATAAGAAAGTAGGATGAGGAGATGAGAGTGTGTACTGGGCTTTCTTCCTTCTCTCTCACTGTGTTAGGCCAAGACACAAGCAAGCGCCTCTGTCAACTTCTTCAAATGTGCCGACATGAAGATGTATAGTCAGCTAAAACATGTTTGCCGAGATGGTGCTTCTTCACATGTTAGTGCGTAAACAGACGACTTCTCTCAGCACTGCATCTGGCTGGAAGGAACTGGAGAGATTTGGAATATTTCGGTGCCGAGCTAGATAAGGGATCTGAGAATAACAGCACAAACAGCTCTTAGTTTCAGCTACAGTTTTAATAAGATTTAAAATCAAGAGATAACAACCGGCATTATCCCAACAACTGCTAAAATCAGTTTTTGAAGAATGGCTTGAGCTTTAGTTTCTAGCTGTAGGATATATCTTGTCTTAAACTAAATTACTCTGTCGGTGAGGATTCACCTTTCTGGTCTCAGACTGGGTGTAACCTGTGTCTTGAAAAAAACAGCTCTTATTTGTGTCTTGGCCTGAGGCTGTTTTTTTCATAAGATTCATAGTTATGGCCCTGTTCCAAAGATAAATTCAGCCATGATGTAAAAAGAGACATCTGGAAAATAAACACAGGAAAATGAGGTATTATGGGGAACGGTGGGATGCAGGGTGGACACACTGCAGAAAAAAAAAAAAAACCACACACACACACACACAACGCCTATGCTAAATGGTCTAGATTTTCATTTTCAACCAATTTTATCCCAATTTAGTCATAACCAATTTCCACCCACTAACTAATACTTCCCTATCTTTAAACAGCTACCAATCTGGGAGGGTGAAGGCTCACATGTCTGACTGTGTATTCCAGAGAAAGCACATTTCTGATGTTCACGTAACAATATTGGACAGATAAATACAGTCAGATGAGACATCTGCGACTGGATAGTGTCACTCTGATCAACAGAAGATTGATCAGAGGAAGGCCATTCTTCCCATCCAGAGATCAGGGAGGTGTCATTGGTGTGATGGGGCAAATGGACACCACTTATGTAGATATTTTAAAATTAGAAAAAGAATAATGATAATATTCAAGTTTTTTTTTTTATATGTGGTTTAGTTTGTGTATCACAATATGATATTGTAGTAAAATTTAATGCAAGACCCGATGCCAAGTTTAGCCAGTACGCAATTTGCCAACTGGACATGTGAGAAGTCACTGCATCACCATAGCCATCATCGCAAAACTTGAAAAGCATCAGCAACATGGACAGTATATAGTATCTTTTTTACATATCCATCTCCATTTTACACAATCTGGCTTCTCAACTGTCCAAACGAACAACAACAACAACAACTTACAAGCACAATCTAGAGCTGGGTATGATAATACACTATAATGGCTTAAAGTATGTGGACACCTGACTATCACACTTATATGTCGTTTTTCCCCAGACTGTTGCTAAAAAGTTGGAAGCACACAATTGTCTAGATTTTCTTTGTATGCTGTAGCATTACAACTTCCTTTCACTGCAACTAAGGGGCCCAAACATGTCCCAGCATGACAATGCCCCTGTGCACTGGGAAGTGGTAGCTCAGTGGTTAAGATGTTGGACTTCTGATCGGAAGGTTGAGAGTTCAAATCCCAGCACCACCAAGCTGCCCCTGCTGGGCCCTTGAGCAAGGCCCTTAACCCTCAACTGCTCAGTTGTATAAATGAGATAATTGTAAGTTGCTCTGGATAAGGGCGTCTGCCAAATGCCATAAATGTAAATGCACAAAGCAAGGTCCATAAGGATATGGTTTTCCAAGGCTGGAGTTAAAGAACTCGAGTGGTCTAAAGACTGGATGCTGTTATAACAGCAAAGGGGAAATAAATCCATGCCCATCATTTTGGAATGGGATGTTCAATAGTTAGGTGTCTACATACTTTTGACTATACAGTGTAGTTCTCGCTATCATAGCAAAAACAATTTTTAAATGTTAATTACTAAATACATGTGTGTTTATCAGTACCTACCACCCGTTCATAGTTAACTTGCATCTGTGAATGTATTCTTTTATTGTTGTAACAATTTTGCAAGGAACTATGAGTCTACTGATGCTACACAAAAATTGATATTAAATCTAGCACCCTAAAAGGTTCCTCGGTTTGTCCCTCTGAGGGAACCTTTAAAGGTGTTGTGTAGAACTCTAAAACGAGGGGTTTCTTTCTGACAAAAGCCTCCAAGGCTCTGTTGTATGTTCAGTACAATAAATGTACACTAATGAAACAATCTATAATCACTAATGAGTTGACCGAAAATATATGAGAATGCCTACAAGTATAAAAAATATATTTAACAAGACCCAAGCACTAACAATAGGCCAAGTTAAAAGTACTTTATGTTTTTAATTTGGATTTCAAAACAGTTATTGAGCTTGTGTTCCTACTCTTATGTGTAACACAGAGTTTCAGGAAGATGAAGAAAAAAAAAAAAAGGTTTATACCACTTCAGGAGATCAGTGAGATACGCCAGACTGGAACTAATGCGGAACTTAATGGGCAGCCAGTGTGAATAAGACTGGGGTAACATGCTCTGATTTCTTTTTCTGTTAAGGATGCGGGTTGCTGAATTCTTCTTTAAAGCTTATTTAAAGAGGCAGCAGAGCAGACAGCCAAAACCATGTCACAATAGTCCAATCTATTCCAATCTAGAAGTATTCATGACTGTGTTCGGTATCAACAAGCAAATGCTACCCAGAAATACCTTCTTCAGGCTTCCAAAGCCCTTACGCTCCCACAATTTCATTTTTAATCAGTGTGTTCCAAAGTGTCAAGAATGTTTTAATTTCTTGGCTTGATTTCTAGGTTGAATATGTGAGCACTGAAGACTGAAGTGAAGAAATGATAAACGTCTCAAACAGTGTTCTGATTTCTCTTGATAAAATACAGTTCACTAGCGGATACTCCAGCTAAATGTAGTTTTAAAGGGAAACTGAAGCTTGGTTTTAATCTAATGTCAGCATGACATGACATTCAAAGACACTCAGTGAAATTTTGCAATTTTGCAGCACCACACAAATCTCGTTTAAACAGAGATTGCTAGAGGCCTGTGTTGACCTGTGCTGACGCAGTTCCAATCGCAGACACTGCTCGCAGCGAATGCACACAATATGGACTGTAGACATGAATCCTTTTTAGGGCTGCACAGTGTATGCTTGTCAACTGGCCACTGTAATACTGATATAACTGAACGTTAATACATGCACATGAGCCTTCTAACTATTGTTATTCCTGAGTTGTGATATTCCAAAATGTGTATGAATCAGGATTCTTCACATGATCACAAATGGAAATTTAAGTCCTTGTAGCTTACCAGTGTAGGGATTTGAATAACATTGAAATGTAATGTAAGTCACAGTATGTGGCAATAAAATCATAATGTGTTTTGTCACATTTAACTTGTATGTATTAGTATTTTTAAAGAGGTTCTGTGAATTGCCTGCAATGATAGGGCAAAGGATATTTTTGGGTAAAAGTGCAACATTTAGCTGCTTTATGTCTACCTATAGGAAGTGGTAGTTAAATAATGGAAAGGTTATTAGTTCAAATCCCAGGACTGTCAAAGAGCCTTTTGGCAAGCATCTTCCAAATGAATGAATGTAAATTCTAATGTAAAAGAAAACTGAACAATAATTTGGGAAATATATATTTATTTTTTTTTAAAATCCTATTTAAACTCAGATCTTAATCACATTTTATACTGAGCAAAGGATTCAGATATATGTGTGGCCTGGGAGAATAGCCAAAACTGGGGAAAAAAAAATGGGTTTGACCAATTTTTTTCTGCACTGTGAACCCTAATGTTGTCTTTACTTAAACAATCAAGTAACTATGACTAAACATCACTGAAAATGTTGCGTTTTTTCCCCATAAATCAAAAAACTAAATTCGTATTTACCTACAAAATACATAAACTTGAGATTTCAAGTATGAACTCAAAACCATGATTCATTAAAATAGCTCACTCTGGTCTTTCTTTGATGTGATTGGCCATGCAGGGAATTCTGCCTGGCAACAGGAGAACTAATGCACTGATTGGTAGATAATTGCAAAAGGCGGTCCTCTTCGTCTCCTCTGTTGCTGGTATCGGTGTAGTGAAGTTCAAGTGTTCATTACGAGTAGGAGAGATGACTCCTTGTGTGTTTACAAAGAAATGGCAATCATGTAGAGGATGTTTTGTAAATAAAGGTACATTTTGCTAAAAAGTGTTAATTTCCCTTATGTATAGAGACTTTTGGGACACTCTGTATTTAAGTACACTTGAAGTGAACAGCAAGTTAAGTGAACTTAATTATTGCAGGACACCGGCTCCCTGGTGGACTAGTGGCTAGCATGCAGCGCTCTCACCGTCGTAGCCCGGGTTCGATTCATGGTTAGTAAACGATAAAATACGCCATAGCTAATCAAATTAAGCACACTATATGAACGCCAGTCTAAGTGAACTTAACAATTTAAGTACAGTCTACATTAGCAGCAAGTTAAGTGAACTTAAATATACAAGTTTTGGGAGACCCCATTACTCAATTAAATTGAGGAAACGAGTCTACTCAATCAACTGAGTACAGTCAACTTGTTAGGGTTTTCAGTGCGTCTATAACATATTTAGCGACCTCACTTTAAGAAACCCTACATTATAACCACAACAATGTGGAAATGTTAACCACACTTCCCTTCCACCTTGCTATGGCTAGCTTTTTACAGAGATTATGTTGTGTAAGGAGCTAAAAACAGGTTAAAAAAAAAAAAAAAAAAAACTTTGCTAGCTAAGTGTGATTCCTTCCCACAGTGAATGGCATGCTTTGATCAAGTTGCTGAACAGGTATGTGCTGAAGAGACCTGGACATAATCGTAAGCAATCGAGTTTGTAATCAGATACCGGCTGTCTGCTATGCACCTGCTCTGCATTCAAAATGAAATCTTTAAATGCAATTTTTTCTCTTTTCAAGTTTAAAATGCTAGAAATTTATTTGTGATACATGCAAGACAGAAACATACTCCAGATGAGGGTATCCCGTAGCGTCCAAAACTATATATAGTAGAAAATGTCAACATTTCATCATGTTTTCCCAGGCTACATATTATGTGATCATAATAACCATGAACTTATGTCCAATTGCACAGAAATGTGAAGCCTTCTACATTTTTATAGAACCCTTTTCTTTCCTTGCAGCTGGAACACTTTACACTCTGAATAACCGCGGACAGAATCATCTTGGCATGTTTCATAAATGGTAGTCATTACACTTCTTGACACGGTATCTTCCTAATGATGAAGATGACTTGCTGTCCTTGATCGCGTTCTCCATGTGAAAAGTTTTAAAGCTCAGCCATCACGTTTAATCAAGCAGAGGAGAAATGAGACAAACACGCTCTCCTCATTTACAAAATTCAATTTCACGTCCATGCATAATTAAAAACGTCATTGATGCTATGACAAACAGTTTATCTTCTCTCCTCTCTCTCATTTCCCTCTTCCTGTGCCTTCCTACTTACTCTTTCTTTTCTCTCCTAATTATCCTATCCTGCATAAACGGGCTTCATGTTGCTGTTGGGAAATAAAATAGCAAAAAGTGAAGCCCCTATGAGCTGCTTTGTCCACTTAGACATTATGCTAGCCTCATTTACATCAATACAATAAAATTGGGGGGATTATATAATGCTCAAGCACACAGAAATTGCTCTATCACTGGCTACTTACAGTTAAGAACTATGAAGTGCTGAGAAGAATTAATCATATCAGTAAGCTTTATTGCTGTTACCTACATCTAGGTAAAGAATGAATGGCATCAGGCAGATCTTGCTTGGGGTACTGTGTGCTTTCTGTTTACTCAATTCTCATATTTCTCAAGGAAAAATAGAAAAATAGAAAATAAAAAAAACAGGATTTTATTATTATCATGGTTTGTATTTGAGTTTATGGAGTAGACAGAGTTACTGTCCTGTCTTCATAAAAATGGCTTTTCAAAAGACTTTTTAAAACTATCTAGACTTTCTATGTATAGTTTTCTTTCCACTATTAAAGGTCATGAAAAGTGAAAACATGAAACGTAAGCTGAAAAAGGGACACTGTGTTGGTGTAGAACATAAGGGAATTTCTGAAGACAACAGATTTTGAACCTTAGTGTCTTGAGTCTATATTGTTTTGAGAGCAATATCCATATCCAAAGACATATCCAAAAGTTTAGAAATTAGTGCCTTTAAATTCTATATGTTTTCAGATGTCCCAGACCTGTGCAAGAACCCGAATGGAATATTTAATTTTATCCTAATATATATATATATATTACAGTATATATGTACACACACTCACTGAGCAATTTATTAGGAATCCTATATTAATACTGGGTAGGGCCTCTCTTTGCTCTCAAAACAGCAAAGGGATGAAATTCTTTGTGCCATGGATTCCACAAGATGTTGAAACATTAATTTGAGATTCTGGGCCATGTTAACATGATTGCATCATGCAATTCCTGCAGATTTTTCAGGCACACTTTCATGTTGCAAATCTGCCATTCTACCACATCCCAAAGGTGTTCTTTTGGATTCAGAATAAATGACTGGGAAGAACAATGAGGAAGAAAAGGCCACTGAAGAACACTGAACTCATTGTCATGGTCATGAAACCAGTTTGAGATGACTTTTTTTGTGGCAAGGTGCATTATCATGCTGGAAGTAGAAGATGGGTAAATTGTGGCCATGAAGGGATGAATATATTCAGCAACAATACTCAAATAGGCTGTGGCACTCAAGCGATGATTGATTGCTGCTAACGGGCCCAAAGTGTGCCAGGAATACATTCCCCACACCATTACACCACCTCCACCAGCCTGGACTGTTGACTACGTTTTTCCAGTCCTCAACTGTCCAGTTTTGGTGAGCCTGTGCCCACTGCAGCCTCAGCTTTCTGTTCTCGGCTGACAGAAGTGGAACTGGACGTGGTCTTCTGCTGTTGTAGCCCATCCACCTCAAGGTTCGATGTGCTGTGCATTCTGAGATGCTTTTCTGAGATGCTTTTCTGCTCACCACAGTTGTACAGAGTGGTTACCTGGGTTGCTATAGCCTTTCCGTCAGCTTAAACCAATCTGGACATTCTCTGTTGAACTCTCTCATCAACAAGGTGCTTCCGTCCACAGAACTGCCACTCACTGGATGTTTTCTCTTTATTGCACCATTTTGAGTAAACTCTAGAGACTGCTGTGCATGAATATCCCAGGAGATCAGAAGTTACAGAAATACTCAAACCAGCCCGTCTGGCAACAATCATGCCACGGGCAAAATCACTGAGATCAGATTTTTTCCCCATTCTGATGGTTGATGTGAACGTTACCCAAAGCCGCTGGCCCGTATCTGCACGATTTTATGCATTACACTGCTGCCACATGATCGGCTGATTAGATAATTGCATGAATGATTAGGTGTACATGTGTTCCTAATGAAGTGCTCCATGAGTGTATATTTTTGTATTATACATGTCAGTGAAATACCTGGTCTTCACTGATCTATAATACAAAAAAAGACACAATTTAAATATTTAATTTAAATACAAAATAATTTTTGCTCTTAAGCAGTAAAATATTGAGAACGAATGGGTAAGATTAGGTGCCGTGGTAAGGAAGAATCTCATGTCATCTCATATATTAACGAGGTTTTTATAATAGGCATATCACTTGTTATAAGGTTTGATATAGATTTATTGCATATAAATCGTAAACAAAGATGAAAAATACGCAAACTTAGATCATATTAACCAAAGAAAATGTTTGATTTTAGTAAAATTATGCAAAAATCCACAGAAGCTCTTATAATACTCACGGAGTTGACTTTCATGGGGAAGTCTGTCGGTCTCTTGGACCTGAGAAAACAAAATGGAAGGAAAAGCAGGCAAGGCATTATTGACTTAGCAGTGTACAAAAGAAGCAGGAAGTAAACAACACATCCTAATTAGACAAGCACTGCACATCATTCCTTTGGAGAAGCAAATCCCACATATCTAAGAAACGGTGATTAAAAGATGACAAACAACACGGTGCAAAATTGAGAAAGCTAGTGAGAGAAAGAAGATAAGAATAAGAAGCCTGAGCATATTGTTTCTTTGTGGCAATATTCAGAACTAATTAAGGATCTCAGATATGAAAGCATTGTCTGTGCATATGTTTTGCAATTCAATTACATTTCTAAAAGACCAGTGTAAGCAGAGTGGATTAAGCTTGTTTGGCTTAATAAGCTGTGAGTCACTCTGTCATTAGCTCCCCTAATTGTGTGGTTTTAAAGGCTGGGGCAGGGGTTGCCATAGTCGAGTGCTCGCCTCATTTAGGACATTAAGCCCTTTATTCTATTACAAAATTTGCACCGAAGTTTCACTTCTGTTTTTTTGCCGGAGACTCACAAGGTTCCTTGCCTTGCCTTGCCTTGCCCAGAGCCCCTGAACTTTGACATATCAGGCAACAGAGTGGAGATCTGAGAGAGTCCCAGAGGTGCCTGGCACTCTCCGTTCTTGCATTTCACTCTTTTAGTAGTTAATGAGAAACACCCACAAGGTCGCTTGTGATTTATGACTATTGCTCTGCTCACAATTTCTGAACTCTGAGCACAGTTATAACAAGTCATTTATCCCCAAGCAGGGTCGATCCTGGTGTATTATTACAGCTCTGGAGTTAAAAAAAAAGCTGAATCATCCAGGTGTGGTCATGAATCAAAGCTGTTACAATGCAAACACGATTGTAGCCTTGAGATGAAAGCAATACATATTCACTCATCCCTTTTCAGCACTCGCGGCCTCAGGAAGACCTTTTTTTTTTTTGAGAGTTGAATGAATGTGTAATCAAAGCATAACCATAACAGGAATGCTTTTGGTTATTTAGTTTGAATACGCAACTGGTCATGTAAATTTGTACCAAAGAAGAACTGCTGCTGTAATCATAAAGACTGTTCCCAGGATGATTATTCACAATCTGCTCATACTGAACATCCTTTTCATACACTTAGTACTGTTTGTCTTTATGCTCCTACACCTGTGTGTGATGTGTGATATGTATATATATATATATATATATATATATATATATATATATATATATGTATGTATATATGTGTGTGTGTGTGTGTGTGTGTGTGTGTGTGATTTATAATGTAACTATCTGTTTTTTTTCCTCATTAGGGATTCTGTAAAGCTGCTTTGTGACACTGTACATTGTTAAGCGTTGTACAAATAAAACTGAATTGAAGTGTTTTATTAGCAGTCATATGATCACTGTATTATGCATTCAGTTCATTGCAATTACCAGCAAAGCAAATTATTATATCATTATTATATGGACCATTCATTTTTTACAAATATAATATTTCAAATATATTTTAAACTTGTCAGCGTTCATGTCATTT